TAAAACAGTCCATGTGACATCAGTGGCTCAACTTCAGTTTTGCAAAGCTACGAGAATACTTTTTGAGCGCAAAAAAAACAAAAATAAAAATTTTTTCAACAATTCTTCTCCCCCGAGTTATGTCTTCCGCCATTTTAGAGAGTATCACAACACATACGTACACTTTCCCCTAAGCATAAACAACGCTGATTATGCAGATTATGTTCATGCACGCGCTTTCCCCCCGAACGTAAACAACGCTGATTACGTCGATTACGCTCTTGGTTAACCCTTTAAGCAAAATACATTGTAAACATGAAAACTCCATTTTATTATTGTTAATTATTTTATTGTTTAAATAAAAAATATGTAATGTACATACACACACACACACACACATACATATATATATATATAGTTAACAATAACAACACTGCAGCAGGTCTTACTTGTATATTTGATAGCTGTTTCTCACTTTCATTCCTCCCTTTATGAAGCTGATCATATTTTCATCCTGAAAGAAAATAAATCTTGAATAAGCAACTTAACTTTATCCACAATAATATATTTTGCTCACATACATGATAAGAGGGCAAAGTGGATTTAATATCAGCAGTAAAAGGGAATCAACCACTGGGACAGACCTGCAGGAAAGTGAGTGCTGCCCTCTGGAGGAGGCATTCAGCATAGCACACTTCAGCATGGAGCTCCTCTGGGGATGACACAAACATAATTACACTTTCATAGTATCTAGGCATGATGGGAGTATGTCACACCGCATTTTCAAAACACAGCCACATGATATGGTCACCATGGGTTGAGGAAGTGATTGCATAAACTACTATCTTTACAAGAAGAAGCCTGTGATAAGCTTTTGTAAAATATCTCAAAATATTAGCATTATTTATTTCTTTTCTGATGCATATTTATTGCGAATTAATCGTTTAGTGAAATATGTATATAGGCACCCACCTTCTGTGAAGTTTTTGCTGTTGAAGGTAGACTTTTTACGGTATCTGTAATGACAAACACAGCCTTATCAGTCCTGTCCTAGAACAACACAATGATCCATCAGTAGTGGTTACTAGGTAACATGCTCAGTTGGCACAGTTGGCTGAGGTCAGCCTTGTGTTCTCTGTTACAGTCCTAGTGTGTGAAAGCTGGTAGACAAATTTGCACTCGATCCAAAGTAAAAAAACACGGCTTGATTCACTGTATCCCTAAGGCCATATAAATAGCGCAGTTGGAACTGAGGAGGACACAATGGCTGTCTGGTTTCTGTCTAAGTAAACCGACTCCCCTCTGAGGGACAAACATGAATTATTCTCAGTCAGTTTGGCTTCTATTAAATTTACACAAATACAAGATATGCAGATGAATGTGGGGGTGGGGTATGGCTAAGATAAGTAGGCTATGTTCACCCTACAAAGTTTTATGAGTGACAACCACTGGTCTGTGTATTTATGGAATACAGAAGTCACTCTGTATCACTGACAGCCACAGTAATGTAAACAAGCTACATGGATGTTAACTGTATGTGTGTATATGTGTGCGTATATATATACAGTGGGTACGGAAAGTATTCAGACCCCCTTAAATTTTTCACTCTTTGTTATATTATTGTAGTAAAAAACAGAAGCTGAGTGTTTTGTTTATGCTCTTTATAAACTGCTGCTTTTAAATGGTGTAAATGATCAGAGACTGGAACAACAGCAGGCTGAAAACATAGTTATATGCATAGTTATATGACTCCAAATCTTGTAATCAGATCTAGTCAAATGTGAAGGAGGCAATAAAATGGGTCTAATGTGTCAGAACTGTGGCCTAACATTTAGCACATGAGCTCCAGACAAGCCGACTGGTGGTGCTGATGCAGGAAATGTAGGTTACTATTAATATATTTTTTTAAATAATTATTATAAAAAATAATTTTTTATAATTAATATTAATAAAAAAATGTGTGTGTCTATTTGTCAATTAGGGATTTGTGGACACATGAATGTTTTTAGATTTATAGAGTAAACATAGTGTTTCCTATCTTCTACATCTATATGCATACAGTATGCCCGTATAAGTCAAATAATAAATTATACATTTATTTTACTGGGATTCTGCTTTGGCTTTCATCAGCTATTAACACTTGTTTTAGTATTTTACATTAATGACACTTTAAAAAATACAAGTGGGGGGGTTGGTATCTCTTTGATGCTTCCCCATTCAAAGAGATAGGACCTGCACTTGCATGTTACTGTACTCCAAATACCTGATTTATCTTATTAGACCAGTTAAGATCAATGTAGTTAAGTATATACAGCATGCGTTGTGACAGAATTGGTTTACTGTCCTGCATACGTGGCTGCTATTATTTGGACCAGACAGTGTAATTGATGTGCAGAAAACTGAAGAGTTTGTGTGTGATCAGCTGACAGAGGCATTCCAGTGCTACAGGGCCTGGATGACGTGGCAGTCACAGAGGTGTGAGTTGCCTGAAAACACAAGCATACACCAGATTGTCACAACCCTCCAACACAGCGTGTCATGGGCCTCTGAAATTCCTCTGCCATCTGGGATGTGGTGATAGCCCTAGACCTGCAGCATTGTGGGATTACGTCACCAATACGAATGTGACATAACCGAGAGGAACCTGAAAATAGTGTATGGATGTTAATAGTAGCACCTGCTCCCTGAAATGGAATGAAAGCCCATGAAATAATAAAAATACACCTGCTAGAATGTTACTCTGTTACTCTCTTTCTGTATTTCTGTATCTCTCTCTCTCCCTCTCTCTCTCTATGAAATCTATAAATATTTCAAATATAATTATTTTAAATGAATTGACAGCCCCAATATTACATATATATATAATAAACAAGATAAAAAAAATAAACAGAAATATTTCAATGTTATATATGCATATTAAAGTTAAAAACAGCACACCGTTGACACACAGCCTGTGCCTCTTTCATTGTGTTGCCTGCAGCCAAGATGTCCTCCAGGTCGAAGGTCATCATGGCCTGCATTTCCAGTATAGTGGCATACGTGAGCGCATGATACATGCTGTCTTTATTCCTGCCAAAGAACACAAAGAAGGATGCATTAGATCTATATATACAACAAAGGAGAGGGTGATGTAACTTGGTGACAGTAAAAGACAATTCACCTCAGAGACACTCAATAACACGAATTAAACCGGGAAATGGAGGAAAGTGTTTGTGTAACCTAACCATCCTGAACACAGTATGGCAACATAATACCAAAAACACTAATAATAATGACATTATGAAAAACTACCAGAGAAACACTCATTGTCAAATAAAAATGTCAATATAGTATTTTGTTAAAATACACTAGTATTATTTACCTTATCACAATTAAACTCAATTTAGTGTCTATTTACAGCGCAGTTTCAGTTCTTTCAGGAGCAGAATAGAATGTGACACTACTGGTCCAACATTCCTGGGTAGAGAGATGTCTGGATAAACAGGTTTACCACTCTTTCCTTTACACAGGTGGAATTGGAATAATGTTGGCGTAACTGGAACAGGAATGTGGCATATTTTACATCTTCTAAACAAACAATAAATTTAATAATATACCATGAGAGCAACACATATAATGCATGCCAAATTCATACATAGAGGCCTACTTTTATCTCTAACACAGGATAATTATGAATTTATGAATGAGCTGACTTGAAATTTTTTTTGTGAACCCATAAGAGTTCTAAAAATGGTTAAAATGCTTATAAGACCATAACATGCAAATGAATATCAGGCTTTGAAATAGTGTTTGTGCTGTTGTTGTTTCTGCTGTTGCTGTTTTCCTAAGGAATCACAAACACTTGCCTGACGTCCTAACCAATACGTATGCATGATCAGTAATTATCCTGTCAAAGTCAAATCAGATGTCCTGCAAAACACAGCATCAAGTCAAGAAGTGTGGAAGGAGAGACAGAAACTACATTCACACAGCAGCAGAATACAGCTGTCAGCCCTATTGGGGGTGCTAAATATGTTTCTGTTCATACTCATTTTAGTTATGAGGTCTGGCACCCTTTCAGGTTATGAAATATAAAAAAAAAAAAAATAGTGCTTAGAGAGCTACAAAAACCCCCCTCCTATTTAAGGAATAGTCCACTGTGTGATTGCAGGAAGATCATCTCTGCTATCAGCAATGTTGTTTTCAAACTCTGAATCTGTACAGACATGGACTCTGATAGTTCTGTTCTGTGTTTAAGTCAATCTCTCAGTCTGCCCCCATTTGGAACTTTCTCTCTAGTCCGTGACGTGTACCTTTCATTAGCTCCATGCCTGTAGCGGCCCTGCCCTGCCGGCTGGAATGGGGTGGGACACGACTAAAACCTAATAGGTAAATCACAAAACTGTGACTTCACTATTTGCAAGTTCAAACAGTGAGAAGCAGAATGTTTAGTGAGATCCTCTGATTGTCGAATCAATTCAACAGTGTGTCTATGTTTATGTATTACGTGTTGACCTGATATCCAGACTGACAGATGAAACAGAACTATTTAGCAGTAGTGTCCAAAATTAGCACTCGTGAGAGTAAGAACTGACTGGTGAGTAAATGAGACAACGTTTGCTTTATTAGGAACTCCAACTTAATACATGGTTTAAATTAAATTGTAAGAATAATATTCTGACCCCCATTGATTACAATAAAATAAAAAATAAATCAATCAATCAAAAAAATAATCACCATTGCAAGGTGTGGCTTAAAGCTAATTTCTGATCCTGAATGCAACCTAACAAAAGTGGAGGGACCCAGGGGACAGAGATGGAAAGATGGCAAAGATTACAAAATGGACTGAATAATTATACAGTTTATTAATACACGAAGGCACACACCCATCCACAGCTGTGAGTAGTGAGGAAGGAAGAAATGCGAGATGCTCTAAGACACAGCATACATATGAAAACAGGGTGTGGTGTGAGAAGAAGAAAAGATCTAGAGATTAATCTCCAGAGAGTTGAACTGATTCAGTAGGTTTTGGGTTATGTGAGATTTACCTGAGAAACACCCAATGATTGTGGATAAAGACTCACCTCACAAAATGATGTACAACAACAATTCAATGTAAATTAGTAGATTGTGCACTTGCGTACTTGCTTAATGTATAAAACCAAATGCAAAACACTTCATAAGATTCAAAAGGGATTATGAACAGTGATTCAAACCGATTATGAAACAGTACAATTCAAGGTTTCTCTGCCTCACACCCCAACACACAAGGAGGAAGTAAAAGAAATAATAGAGCCTCATTGTGTTCTGAGGTCTGAAGTTCCATAAATGTTCCAAACCTAGAACCTCTACAATGATTACAGATCACACAAAAACAGTAAAGCACAGGTCCAACTCTTATTATGAAACACCCAGACGGTCTTACCTGCTCTTAAGTCTGGTCAAAGCCTCGTCAAATTCATTTCGCAGGAACAGATCCAGTGCCGCCATGCAGTCTTGAAGAGCCACTGACAGGTCAGATCTCTCCGACCTAACACACATATAGAAAGAAAAAGAGCTTAAAATAAGCTTATCTTAAACAAATGCTACTTCCCAAAGCCTCCGTCTTAAAGGAATATTTCACCCAAAAATGAATATTTTCTAAAAATGTTCTCACCCTTTAGAGAAATTTACTATTAAAACGCTTGCTCACCAATGGATCCTTTGCAGTGAATGGATGCAACGGTTCAAAGTTAAAATGTTTTCATTTATTCCTTAGAAATACACAGCATTTCACTTCACAAGACTTTAATTGATAGACTGGAATTGTGTCGATTACTTATGGATTGTTGTGATGTTTTTATCAGCTGTTTGGACTCTCATTCTGACGGCACCCATTCACTGCAGAGGATCTATTAGTGAGCAAGTGATTTAATGCTGAATTCTCCAAATCCGTTTAGAAAATCTTCAAAAATCGAACAACATATCAACACTAGTGATTATTTTCCTGGTTAGGTCTAAAGGATGCCATTTGGGACAGGGTCGTTGTACTCTGAGGCAACACAACAGCTTGTGAAGCAGCTCAAGGAAGTAGTGATCAGGTGTCATGTTGGACAGAAGACAGGCTCACTCAGCTGGTCTTTCTGAGCATCTGCAGAAAATCTCACACTGTCCCCAAAAAGCCTGTTCCGTGTGAATGTGAGGTCACAGCTCTCTACTGCAGAGAATCCCTCCAGAGCCTCTCAATTTAGATACAAGAGCAGTGAAGCAGATGTCACCTTCAAATGCACTAAAGCAAAGGTGAGTGAGTATGTGTAGTGTCAACTGAAAAAACACTGGGAATGTAAAGAGGAAAGTGTATAATAATAATGAGAAAAGGAAAGAGTAGAGAAAGTCTGGGGAAGCAAGTGTACTATCTATTGATTTATGCATAAAAACAGTATACTGACGGAGTTCTTGCATTTTGTAGAATCCCTATAGTACCATATTGCAGGTAGGACGCAGTAACTTCTGTCTCTTAACTAGACATTACTGCAACTCAGACCTGCCAACTTATAATACTCTTACAGTAACAACAATCAGGATGATCATTCAAACTGAATTTTAAAAAAGGCAGAGTTTCATGAGGAGTGAAAATTGATTTTGTATTTGTATATTTAAACTATAATGTGGTCATCAAGTGGCTTTCTGTGTTTAATGCACTTTACACCATACTCTAAAAGACGTCTTCATCGTTATGTTAAAAAGCCTATTTGTTTTCATTTACTTCATTTATTGAGGCCCAGTTTTCTCCATTAGTAATTAAATTGAATGTTCAATGAGATTTTACCTACACATTTCAGGCAATCAAACTTAAGCTTTTCATTTTAAGGGTTTGATTTTTTTTTTACAATGTATATTACAAAGTATTATGCTTACATAGCTCATAAATGCATATAAACATTGATTTAAACATTTCTATAACTGCATGTGCTAATTAACTGTAATTGTGGGTTTGCAGATGCACTGATAGACAAGACTAGGGCTGTGAGCAATGGGACAAGACCGTACAACTCTTACAGTTCACATAACCACAATTAAACTGTAAAAGCAGCAGCCCTTTTTCTTTTCTTCATGGAAGATTAATGAATCACATACTCAATAGGTCTAATTCCTGGCATTCTAAAGGGGGCGTTTACACAATCAGTCAGTAGGATTCATACCCCCAGTAGGATTTATTTTCCCCTCACTAAACAATTTTTTTTTTACATGTTGAAATGAATATGACATTGCCTTTTTAAAAATATGTTCAACTAATGTGCACTCACATCTCCAGTCAAACCAGTGGCCTACTAAGAGTTACACAAAACAGGATGTCTCATGGGGGCTGCCATGTTGTGATCACATGACTAGTCAATTCACAGAATAAATGAACCATGGCTGACGCTGTGTCCAAATATGCCTATTTCCATACAGCAGGCGAAAAACAGTATGTGAAAAGAGTAGTATGTCCGAATTCATAGTATTGGAAAGAAGTACCCGGATGACGTACTACTTCCAACGAGATGCATATGCATATTTAACGGACACTTTTGTCACGGTGCGTGCGGGGAGATGAAGCGAAGACTCAAGTGCAGGAGAAATGGTTATTTATTTTAGTAAAAAAAGAAACAAAAACAAACTCAAACCACCCCGAGGGGGAAAAACAGACAGGCAGGCCTAAAGCTGCACCACATGCAGACACGAAACACACACAATGAGAAATGACGGATCAGCCCAGGATGACAGACACCAGGAGAATAAATAGGAACCAAACGAGGAGGCTAACGAGGGAGACACAGGTGGAGCAACTTAAACAATAACGAGGTAACAAGATGGGAGGGGCAAGACAATAGACAGGAGAGAGCACATGGCAACAGACAACACAAGCCATGTGCTCACCGAACACAGTCATCTGGTGGCCCTCCTGGGCACACCCGCTGAAGACTGTGACAACTTTAGTATCCCCTGAAGCCACGAGAGGATTTGTGAATGGCAGTAAAGTGTCACAATTGCAATTGATGTAGTATGTCCAAATTTCATTCATACAACCCATATTCAATACAATACATACTAGACAGTATGCGATTTCAGACAAAGCTTGTGTGCGAATAGCACATTTCTACAATGGCAATCACCTGAGGTGTAAACTACTTTCTAACTTGTGATAGCATCACCTAAACTAAACTTCTAGCAATCTTGAACTGAAAGGCAGCAAACAGGGAAAAATATAAATCCATTACATGCTTAAAAGAGCATAAAAATCTGATGGTCAAACATTTACAATAATGCAATGGCACACATTATTTATATGATATATTAATGGAAAATTTACATTTCTAAGCATATAGTGATAAACAAAATCATCATTTATGAGTGAAAAACAAATCTTCAGACACATGATGAGAAGACAAATGTCTCAGAGAGGAACATGATCAAAGCCCATTGTATCTCTGTATAAGGGACACATTCTTCAAATTACAGCACCATTTAAAATTAATTTGTAAACTGAGTTGAAATTTGTAATGGTCCTGACCTCGGACTGCTAAGATTATAGCACGACTCCTAATCTAATAAAACCCAACAACCACTTACAGTTCTTCCACCCTGAAACATTCTGCTGAAAACAACCATTCATGCGATTCTGTATGTGGATATATGCACTGGGAATTGAAAGTATGTAAAAAGACAATGGCTTTGGCCATTCTCCACTGAAACAAATCAAGTCAATAAGAGTGACTAAATGAGCGCCACGTCTTTGCATTCCAAACGAACACAGACCAACACAGATGCTCTTTATGGGATCCATTTGGCCAATAGCAATGCGATTGATGGCCTGGGCTAATGTCAGGCCTAACAGTTTTAAAATTTACTTTAAAAAATATATGTTTTAATGTTTTATTTGTCATTTTAGACAAAAAATACTATAGACTTTTAATATCTTCCATTCTGGCCACATCACAGAATCATTGAAACATTTATCAGGCAGAAATACTGGTTAATCTCTAACTTCATTAGTATGTTAGTGCATGTTAATAAAGTGCAAAAAAGAAACTAAAATATGAATAAAATAAAATATAAACTAAAATGAACACACATATTTTCTACGTATAACAATTTACGAACTAAATAAGTGCGTTTGGCCAATCAGAACTCAATATTAAAGAGCTGCACGCTAGCCACGCGTGTTTTCATCTTTTTTCGCGCAAAATGCTTCAAGCGCAATTTTTGAGGTTCTTTAAAAGGAAGACAACATAAGGTGCGATATTTCCTTGATTACAGTTTAAAGACATTCCCATTACATTTTGTTGAGCTGCATGTGGGAGCTGACATTATCGAGTATGTCACTGACTTTGTAAAAAACAAACAAAAACAGTCCTGACAGTCCAAAACTATTTACTGCGTGATGAAGCCTATTAGAATCCAGTTAAAATGTCCCTATACTTTTAAGTTAAAAAGAAAAAATATCCCTGTATGAGTTTTTATTTTTATATTTATGTTATATATTAAGTAATATCACATTAGCATGAGTGCTGTTTTCCAGAATCTCAGCACGCAATAGCAAATGTTATATTAATTTTATATGACAGTTCAACAAACAAAAAGTTAATTGAGTGAGTTACATTTTAGACACAATTTGTGTTTTTTTTTCTGTTTTGCAAACGAAATAGCCATGTTCCAAACAACGCTGGAGCAGAGCGGTTGTGCCTCTCAGAGAAACACTGCGGCGTTTGGTTCATGAACGAATCGGTTTTTGAACGAATGGAGTGAGCCAATGATTCAATTATTCATTCATACTTGCTTCGATTGTAATTGAATCAGCCGCTTTGAACGAATCGTTTGACTGAATGATTCATTATGAATCATTTATTATAACAGGCACTTGCCGCCACCTACTGGCAGTTTTAGTGTCACATTTACAGTATTTATCCATGACAGGCCTAAAAACAAGCACAAAAACACACTCTGTAAAATATAGTTTAATTATCATTAGCCTTGGGCTGTTGTATAAAATCACATTTGCACCCGTGCTATTCGAAACAAAAATAACACTCGTGTGATACTGCTCTCGCTATTAGTGTGATATCCCTTATCATATTATATAAATATGATGAGACAAAAACTCACAGGAGCATTTTTTTGCCCCAATATCTTAAAGTTTAGGGGCATATAACTCCATTATAGGCTTCTTCACGCAGTAAGTTGTTGCCCTGCATCATGTTTGTCAAGTCAACCGTGTGAAATGTAAGATGACGTAAAAACACACATATATATATATATAT